GGTGGTAATAGATTTCAACAAAGGTACTGATAATCACATTTCTTTTAATTCATTCTTATATTGCATTCTTGAATCACATGCTAATTCCTCACTGAGTTCTTAAGTAAATTTTATTTACTCTGTCTTCTTCAAGAAGGGAATTCTTGCTTTTCAAGGCAGCAATTGAAAGGAGATGAAAATATAATTTAATACTCTTTACATCCACAGACACAATTTGAGACCAGTTACTCTGTTAGTAGGAGAAATCCATCACTCATTAAATACAGGGCAAGCATGGCAATCCATAATCATTTTGAGTGCAATGCAGTCTTACAAATTTAGTGTACACACTTTATTGAAATGATACAAACAGCCATATGAAATTGCACAGGATTAGAAAACAGGATGAACTTATTTTGCCTCCTGCTTGGTTTCTCATAAACATAAATACATAATATTGTTATGCACTGTCGTTCATAGATGTCTTATTACATAAAGGGTAAGTATCACATTACTTTAACAGATTATTTTTGGAATTTTGCATGTTATTTTTTGTTTCATCAGATATGTGCCCCAATTAAATAACGTTTTTTTAAAATATGAAAGTATTAGAAAATTTGTCTTGTTAATTTTGAAAAAATTGAAGTGTAGTGCATATTACTAGATAGGATGTCATTCCACTGGTCTATATTTAAAAAACTGTTTTTGAAAATTGAAGCATTACCTTGTGTAATTAATAAAGTACATCAAATCAGATTTGTAAATAAATATTGTTTAAATCTAAAGTATTCAATATTTTGATTAGATTATTTTTTTAAGGAAAACTATTTGACGTGTATGTGCCGAATTTTTTTTAAATAGTTTTTTATAATTGCAATGGAAGGGCAATTGTCTCATTACAAGTGGTACAGAAGCCAATACTTGGGTTACCATAGCTATATAAGCAAGTAAAAACTGTGGAACAAGTTTTAAGCTCATTTTGGAAAAAGAAAAACAGTTCTGTAGAAATGCATATTTGTATTTGTTTCTCTAATAAATCTGCAAATAGCTTTAAACACAAATTAGTTTTAATTATTTAAATTATGAGTTCTGTTAAGTAATTTAACATCTGTTTTGCCTTACATTTGTGAAAACATTGTCTCATGGAAATTAATAGAGGCTTGTGTGGAAACCAAGGTAGGTCTGCATTTTTTCAAAAAGTCAGGTATTTAGCTTTTAAGTACATTTACCTCTATGAAATGATAAAGAATTTTAATGAAAAACAACCCTTCTTTTCCAAAAATCACATCATTGTCCACTGCTCAAACAAAGACCAATTTGCATCAGCTTTAACTCAGTATAAGGTGAAAGAACAACATATAAGTGAAAACGTACATTCAAATGGTTGGTAATCAAAAGATTATTTGATTCAGCTGACTTCTTTATAGTAAGCAATGAAGTATGGACTCTTCTGAACCACAGTGCCTCAATATTAAAGATGTGATTGACACATTACAATTAAAATTGTTAAATAAAATACATTTCTCGTGAATTGTGAATTTATAATGCATGTTGAATAATGTTTTAGGGCAAAATATGGTAAATCTGTTATTAAACAATGTAGAATCTTCATTTTATTTTAAAAACCTGCTTACTGGAGAATACATATACTAAATTTAAGCTTGTCATTCTACTTGAACAGAGATACTAAGTTTTTGATTAAGGACTCAGTTGAGTATTCCAATCCTCTTGGACTATGAAGAACATTCAAATTATAATGAAATCTTTGGCTTTGTGCATTTATTTTTATTACTAAAATGTTTTGGGAGATATGGCATAGAAAAACTTTAAGCATTTTCTAAAAGCATCATTCATTGGCCTTCTGTCAATCATAAAAATACTTTTCTTGTTAATATTTAAGATGTTGGGTAATTATATTATTTTTTTCTTTAAAAAAATATTGTAACCTAAATTTCAAACTAATGGCTTCTCAAAATTTTGTAATTTTAATGCTTTATCATTTTATCTAAATATTAATATAGATCAAGTCCTTAGTATATATTGTGTTAAAATACCTCAATATATTTACCAAAATATCTCAGATAGATTTGATTTTTTTGATATTTCCATATTTTGTCTATTTTAAGAAGTAAATGTGATTTAATTTTTAAAATGTTGAAAACAGCTTTGATTAGATGAAGCCCATAGACTTATAGTGAGACGAATCCATGCTGAAATTTTATCATAAAATAAACCATTAATTTTAGGGTTTAAAACATAGACAACAGTTGACCTGCAATTTTTAAAAAATGTCGGCTGGATACAAAATAACTCATAGTGCATTTAAAAAATAAAAAGAAAACTAAATGAATTTTTTAATCTAGTAAAAACCTAACCATCACATTTTTCAAGCTATCTTAGAAGGAAAAAATAAAAACTGTCTCTACTCAATTATGTATGAGATATATTTTGTGGGGTTCAAGTTCCTAGTAAAAAGTGTTTGTATAAATTCACCACTCAGGAGACACACTCTTAAAGGTCTTGAACATTTCTATCTTAAGATTATGGTTTGGAGTTGGGGTGAAGAGGGGGTGTTTATATGCAGTAGAAAGAGGAGTTAAGCAATTAGCAGGACTATTTGCTTCAAACTACTTATTTAAAAAAAAAAGATTCAGAAGGCCAAATACTCAATTAGCTAGTTTTACTTAGATTATCTCATCACTTTACCAGTAGAGGGAAAATCTTTAAGGTTGAACTTCTGTAAAGTTTGACATTGTGAATTCTAGAAAATGTTACTTCTATATGCACTGAAAATGCTTAATCTAAAGGACTTTACAATATTTAAATTGATGGAACTGATTTTTATATGTTCTGGGAGATAGATATATCATTGTTCATTTTCTTAAGAACATGCTCGTGATTTCAAAGCTTTAATTAATCACCAATATGATTATTTCTGAACATAAAAAGACTTTCTCTGAATTTTTAAAACCTTTTTTTAGGACTTTAAAAAAAGTAATTTGACCCTTTTAGGAACTATTTCATTTAAGATAATTGACTGGCTTTAAAAAATTATACCAGTCATTTCTTTTAGTTGGCATCTCAATTTATCTTTACCTCACACATTAACTTGTTTATTATAAAACATTTTTTCTCTACATATTAAAGATATTTGAATATTTGAAGGTTTTATAGTTGGTTATAATGATGGATTTTTTTTTAACTTTCTGGAATGAATTCTAGATACTGATGGATCCAGTCATCATCAACGTGCTAAAAAATACCTTCCGCACAAAACTGAATCTGTTTGGCATCAGTTCACGTGGATTTCTTCATTGTGAACAAAGTCAGGTATTCTAAATATGTAGCTTGGACAAAAGATAAAAATTGGTGCAACAAGGCAAAGCTCTGGAGAGTCAGTCTTTCAAAAAGAAAACCAAGTCAGAGAACTAAGCCAAACATGATACCGCGTTCTGAGAACTTGACTTTACTTAGGTATACAGAGGTTGATGACAATGTAAGATTATCTCTGTGGAGCATTTTCATATTCTGTGGGTTTGTCATATCTTGAGTAGTAGTTGCAAAATAATACTGTCATTGCTGGTTCGTTTACAGTGATAGCCAATGATATACACTAGTTAAATTACCAATTCAGTGAAATATACAATGTAATGATACCACAAAAACAAGTTACTACAAGTTACTATGCTGGAATTACTGCCCCCATGTCTTTATTGCACCAAATATTACAGATTGACACTTTCTGGGTATTTTCTTTCTCATTCCTACCTGAATCACATTTTATTCCAATGTGAAGATCGTGTTAGAATGAAGAGACTTCCACCAGTTTTCAAGTGTTGAGCACAGTATTATATCCAAGAGCACAAAATTAATAATAAAAGCACAGATTCAGAATTGCAAATTATAGATTTTAACATTAAATTGAGATTACATATCTTATGTATGTACTAATTCTAGTTTTGAACTCAGTTTTTTTTGCTAACAGTGTTACACTTGTCTGTAGTAAGACGATAAGACTAATAATACATTAAGCTTATCACACCTCTTTTCCTGTCACTTCCAATGTTTCAGAAAAGCAAAGTTAGTTAAACATGGTATTTTTCTTTTCTGTACTGTAAGCTTCATTTCCACTTAGACAAGTATATTTTAAAAGTTGCAGGATTTTTAAAATATAGAAGTAGATAATTTTTTCTCAAGTATCAAAAAAGTTTTACAAATGATTTCCCAACATGTGATGAGATTATAAAATTGATACTTATATTTTCTTCTGCTAAGTACAAAGTATACATTTGTTCTTTATTTAATTCCCACAATATTGTCAGGTACAGGTATTAGTTTTATTCCTATTTCTCAGAACATGGAATTACTGCTGAGTCTCAAACCACTAAGATAAAGTTAATAAATTAAGGATTTATCCAGCTTTACTGAGAACATAAAGATTTCAATGTGTAAATTCAAATTACAAGAAAAATGTATTAGCATATTTGAAAATAGTAAACAACATTAATGCAAGTCAGTGTTTGGTTTCCAAAAAGTTTTAAAAGTCTGAAACTTTCAGAATTATAGCTATCATATAGAGCAAGATACACACTTAAGCATGTTTTCATTTAAGTTGCACCTGTTAGGACTGTGACAGTACATGTTGCCTCCTTAGAGATACCTTGAAAACAGGAGAAATAACATCGTGATCTTTTATGAGAACTAAAGAATTTTATGGGAATAACATGTTTATGCAACTGGAGTTGTGTGGTAGAGATACATGGGGTTACTGGGAATAAGCATGTGCTGCCTCCTCCGCCCAGGGCATGGGTAACCATGTGGCCCTAGAGAAACGTCATTTTATTTCATTTTTGGTGCTCACAAAATGCAATGCACTGCAGCATTTCCAAGCAGTTCCTCAGTGCCATTTTTGGTCACCTTTATTCTTAGAAGTTAATCATGAAAATATCTGCCACTTGATATGACACATATTTTCTAAAATTATCCAAGAATGTACATGGTACTGAAAAACCGAATGCCAA